ACTAAGAAATGGAAAAGATGTTAAATTATATATATATATTACCTCAATAACAAATTATTACAAAATACAGTACATCTTTTGACCCAGTATCCTAGGTGTTTGCCTGATTTGATTTTTTTTCTTAAGAAACAACTCCCATTTACTGAGCACCAACTAGTACTCACCTATGACCCTCATCACCCCTACTTTACAGGTGAGAAACTGAGGGTAATAAGGATTTAAGCAACTTGCTCAAGTCCCCATGGCAGGTTAGGAGGAGCTGGGATTGGAAGCTGGCCATCGGGTTTCAGAGTATGTGCATTTAATCACTCTTCTATTTGGCCTCTGGACACCACCAAAAAGGGCAATTGTGATTAATTCTTGCAACAGCCCCATATGCCAGATATCTTATCATTTTCACCTGATACAATTGAGACTCCAGAAAGTAAAATAACTTGACCAATTTTAACCTTTTATTCTTTTTAACTGAGTGAAATCCAGAAAAAACAGATGTGCCCCTTTATGCTCAGATTTTCTTCTCCAGCACTGGGGCATTCATGGCAAACTGGGCTTATGACCAAGTGCAAGTCTGCAGCTTAGAAAGAAGCAAGAAATGAATTTATTTTTCATCAGATCTTAAAGGGGCAAATGGTGAATTATTGCCAATGCCGATATGAGTTTAGGTAGGAAAAATCAGAGGACTCATCGACCAACAGTGTCCCCTAGGTCTCCGTGACATACCAAGCTGGGGAACTGGGATACAAACTCTGCTCACTCTGGAGGGCCAAGTTCATTTTTTGAATAAAGCCATGGGCGCTGATTGAATCCATCTGGTTTCAGTTCAGCCTGGCAGCCTCAGAAAATGAAGAAGTCAGCTCTCTGCTGAGGTCCAATGTCCGGGCAAGGCCAGTTTATGCTCAGGTAGCCCAAGCACTGCCTATGCCTCGGTTGCCATGTTGAACCCAAGCAGACAGAGCCTGGCATGAGCCCTCAGGGGACAGTGCTTCCCATCGCTCACTATTCTGAGCTTTTGTCCATGTGTCTGGGTTCAGATGAATGAGATTTACACTGTCTTAATAAATATTCATAACCATTTTAATATTAGTAAACCCTTCACATGAGTCATTCAAATGACTTCCCAGTCATCTCAGGCCCCCGGTGAGAATGAAGCCATTTCCTTGCAAAGCTGTGTCAGCCTTTCCAGGCCTTTTTGGCCCCACTGGGCTGGGTCTGTGTGAAAGGAAACATGTTTGGGAAGAAAGCAAACAGGTGCTTAGGATGGGCATGCCATAGTTCACATTCATTGCCCCATTCCCATTTTCAAATATTGTAAATATTGTACTCCAGCCCCTGGTTGCAACTCATTTTACCATCTGTCCTCTATTACTTTTTACGTGGAATCTTTTATAGTATTAGTGATAATACTACAAGCTAATATCTAGAGTGCTTACAGTGTATCAAACAATAAGCTGTGTTTTTTCAGTGCGTTATGTCATTCATTCCTCCCAACCATACTATTAGATAGACATCTCTCTCATGCCCAACCTACAGATGAGAAAACTGAGTCTCAGGGAGGTTGCTTGTCAAAAGTTATATAACCAGTAAACAACATTACAATATCTAAATTCAAACTGAGGCTTGTTTACATTGAATATGTGGCTGCCAGTGGAATAGCCTTGTCATTACAGACTTTTTGTTAAAACCATAATGGTCTGGGACAAATAATATTGCACAGTTTGACAAATGTGGAGTGGGACAGTGCAAAGAGAGATTACTTTAAAAATTCTAGCAAATTAGGAGACCATAAAGTGAATTTTTAAGTCCCTTCCCATCCATAGGATCAGGCTGAATAAGCTTCACATTCATGAACCATAAGAGCTAGCAGGTATCTCAGGAATTATATACTTCAAACTTCTTACTTTACACAAGAGAGGATTGAGAAACAGAGAGATGAAGTAATTTGTTTGAGGTTATCATAATCATAAACATTTGGATTATTTACTAAGAGATTTGTTTCTTCTTCTTAACAACACATTTTGGGATATACATGGACCAAATCCTAACACAAAATAAAATATTTTACTATGGCTCATTTCTTTATGTGTATGTCCCCACTTACTGATGTTCTTTACCTCATCTGTCTTAGCAGATGGAAGTTCTAGAACACTGAAAACAACTAAGCATAAATGAAGTCAGCACAATTAATGATATGGTTTGGCTCCATGTCCCCATCCAAATCTCGTGTTGAGTTGTAATCCGCAGTGTTGGAGGTGGGGCCTGGTGGGAGGTGATTGGATCATGGGGGTGGTTTTTAATGGTTAAGCACCATCAACCTAGTGCTGTCTAGTGAGAGAATTCTCAGGAGATCTGGTTGTTTAAAAGTGTGTGGCACTTTCCTTCATTCTCTCTCTTCTGCCCCGTTATGTGAAGATGTGCCTGCTTCCCCTTCACCTTCTGCCATGATTATAAGTTTCATGAGGTCTCCCTAGCAATGCTTTCTATGCAGCCTGCAAAACTGTGAGTTAATTAAACCTCTTTCCTTAATAAATTACCCAGTCTCAGGTAATTCCTTATAGCAATGCAAGAATGGACTAATACAATTATTCCCCAGAATTATCAATACTTTCTTATTTCAAAATCCAAAATGTTAATGTGCCATTTTGGGGAGGACGGCTGTTGCCTCTAGTTTACACAGATGTCCTGTACCAATGAGTTGCGTGTCTCAGAAAGAATTATTCTATTGCAGTTGGAGTGAGCCGCCTATATGTTTGCACCATTGCTAAGCATCCGGCTGAACAATGGTGTCCTCACTGGCAGGAACTGTGTGTTCTCATCGCTGTCCTCAGTGTCCTAAGACAAGCTCTGGCACAAAGTCTATACTCACTGAATGTTTGTTGACTGAATGATAAAGATGGATGAATCTTAAGACCTGAAAATCTGTCTCATCAGTGAAGCAATGTAGTGAGAGACTCATCGTTAATTATGTTAATTATGATATGATATATGATACGTTATGCCATATCATTACAGAATAACAGAGTAGAAACATGGAAAGGTAGCCCAGGCCCAGGTGGAGTCCTGACCAAATTCTAGATTGATAGTGTTAAAATATGCAAATACCTTTCCAGGATTAGACTACCCCACCCCAAACTATCAACCACAAAACAGCCAGTGGTCACCAAGGTGCCCTACACTGTTATCATCTTGAAGAGAAAGAGTAATGACATGAGGCAGTGAAGAGGCACTTTAGAAATTCCTTTTAATGGTTATGGAGGTTGATATATTTTTAGGTTAAACCTATGTCTCCCCATGAAACATAAGAATGTTAATGATTATATCTCTGTGAAAGTTCAATTCGTAGGTGATGTTTTGGAAATTCATTCATTATTCTTTCTCATTCAACATTCATTGGATATTGTGCCATGCACCAAAGATATAAACATGAAAAAGACATGATCCCGTGCCCTCAAGGAACCTGCAGTCTTGGGAAGAGGGGTAAGAATGCACAAAGTAAACACACAATTACAATAAAGTCGGGTAAAGACAACTGGTTCTCACATCAGACTACCATTACCCAACTCCCACTCTGTATTCACTAGTTGTGTAACATGAGTGAGTTCTTTAACTTCTAAAAGCCTTATGTCATCAAAGGTAAAAGAGGGGTCATAGTACTAATATCTATCATGGAAAGTTCTCCGGTGGGTTAAATGAGGTAATATATATTAATGCTAAGCAGAGCTTGTCATTAGTATACAAAATGTTAGCTATGATAACAGTAGCTGTTACACTTCCATTGTAACTGCATTAATATAAATATAAACAGAGGTAGGGTGCCTGAGAAAAACAGGTTTGGGAGGCATGTGGAAGAAGACTACCTTTCTCAAGGACCATAAAGAGGCATCAGTAGGCAAATTGTGTTGTTGGAGTTGGATGATTGGAGTTGGGATAGGGGATGGCTGTCTCTCCTTTGGGTGTCTGACAGATCAAGTCCAAAGGGTGGAAGGCATTTAAAAACCTCAACTGTTCAAGGCAAGTCTTATAGTCCCAACCAGCTGGACCAGAGAATGTGACGAAGGGCAGAAGATGAAGCAGAGGAGGAAATGCAGACGGTGGATCATAAGAACCTTACTTTATTTCAATAGCTTTGCAGGTCATTGAAGAACTTTAATCAGGGAAGTGATGTAACAGAATTTTGAAAGGGTCACCCCAGCTATGGTGTAACCTAGAATGACTCAGAAGAGATGAGACTAGAGGCAGGGATACTAGCTAAGAAGCTGTTGCAGTAATGAAAGAAGAAATGATGAGAACCTAAACTAAGGCAATAGTATTGGAAGCAAAGAGAAGTGAAGAGATTTCACAAGTTTATAAGAAGAAAGTGGTAGGACTTGCCAATTAATTGGATGTAAAGACCAAAGCAAGGGGCAGTCAAGGATGGCTCCTGGATTTCTGGCTTGAGATACTAGGTGGACGACATAGCAGGTAGAGTGAGAAAGATGATGCTTTCAGTTTGGGATATATCAAGTTTGGGGTCCTTTATAGGTCTTTCAGGGAGAAATGTCTAGCAGGGATTTGGATAGAAATGTCTGGCACTCAGGAGAAATAGAGGTAATTCAAGTCATGGAGAGGATCTAAGAAGTTATTTTATGCATTGAAAATACTTGATATTAAGCCATCTACTAATGCCATTTTTGTTTTTGTTATTAAAGATGAGAACACCAAAGACAGAATATATGGTTCTTCTAGAAGATCCACTTTCAATTTTACTAAAGTGAATGACCCACTTTGATGAAAAGAATAATGACTTCTAAGGTCTCTTACAACTCTAATGTTACAATTCTATTGTTCATCTGGAATTGCCTTTTGAGAACAGCACACCTGTGGCCTTAAAGCTTCCTGGGTGAACATGTGAAATATTCTTTTTTTAATGAAAGTTCATTATGCGTAAAGCCACACAACCCCAAACATGCAGTGATGATGCTTACAGCAAAGAAAAACCAAGTAAAGACACTATCTACATTTACCTACTCTGATCCCAATTGGCTGCAAACAGCAAAAGAATCTTCCTGCCGTAATGGTCTCGGTTTTCCAGCACCCCAGGGAATCCATCGATCAGAGCCCTCTTAATGCCGGGATCATCTGCCTTGAAGTTTTTGAACATGTCCAGGTTTAGTTGGCGGTACTGGAAATACTGAGCCAGGAGTCTAAAGGCATCCGCTTGGTGAAACTTCCTGGCTCGGAGAAATCTCAGGATGAAGGCATCATCTGTACGTAAAAATCCAATGTCAGGCCTGGTGATGATCATGTCCCTGACTTGCTGAATATCCTGATGTAAAACATCTGGGTTTTCATTCAGTTCCAGGCGAGCTTTCTCTATAGTCTCTGGACTGAGTCCAGCCTGTAAATGGGTCATCTTGGCCAAATCTCCGTTCCAAGTGCTTAACTTCTGATATTTTGGAAGAAGAGAGACTGGTCCCATTCACCTGATGGTCTGCTGAAACTGTATCCCATTCAACGGTGTTTTACTACCAGACTGCCCTGGAACAGACAAATAGAGGGTCTTCTTTCACATTCAGGCCCTATGTGGTGGTGTTCATCCAAAAGAGAAGCAAAACTGAGGCCATTGCTTACTGAAAAACAAATACACACAAAAGAAAAAAAAGAGAGATGATACAAAGAAAGTCTGGGCAAATTAATTGGAACTTAGATAGAAAAATAGTATATTAGGTTGTGGGTCTGATTAGATTAGGTGTCCAAAGAACAAATGATAAATGGGGTATTGAGCATAAGTTGATTATAGACAACTTGAATATCTAATATGCAAATATTTGAAATATGTTTGGGAACATTTTAGTTCCATTGACTAGTTAACTTAATAGTGCTTGATCAGATTAGCAAAAGCATGCACTTTTATTAATTACCTTAAGAAACAGTGAGAGGAGAGAAGGATACTTCTCTGTAACAGCATGCTTTATGGGACCACTCACAGGCCTAGATATGGAAGAGAAATTATAGCTATGGTACAATTTAATGCTTCCCATTGGTCTCTTTTCTCAAACAGAAGTATCTTTCACAGAAATACCCCTTCCCCCACTTTCTTAAAGCCAACCATTTGCATCTTAACTATAAAAAACTTCCCCTATTTTAACCCCACCAGTGTTCATGACTCACAGGAGTCCTCCACCAGTATATGTGAAGAGTCAGGATGGGAACGGGCTTGTGGCTGGAAACTTGACCTCCAATAACAAATTCAACGATGGGCAAGGAGGCTTACAGGGACATTTGCAAATGGCTTTATTATTTGCATTTGTCATTCTTTTAACTACGAAAGCAGAGGGACTTGAGACTCTTGATTCGCTCTCTACCCAACCCAATATCCATATAGGCTTAAAAATCCTTCCATTGTATATAACCTGCCTGTTTTCCTAAGATGCTCTTTTACTTATGATATTTTAATCCCCTCAGATACATCCTTTATGATTTCTCCACCAAAATGGTATACAGAGGAACACCCATACTGTGTGTATCTTATTTTAAATATAAATGCTTAAACTCTTGCAGCCATCTGTTTGGTCTAACCTGGAAGTTCCAAAAATCAGAAGACACACTAAGTATAAATAAACTTAAAAGCATTTATTTTTCCTAGCTTTCTTACATCAATCTTATCTGCAATAAGAGGCAGAATATTGACTCCCAATCTAATCATTATTGGTAATGCTTTATCATATAAAATTACTTAAATGATGATTGTTCTGCTTAATTTAGGACTAACAGTAATTTCTTAAGAGAGACAATGAGCTTACTTATTTCTACTTTATATATCTTTGTATATGGAGGAGATAAAAGACAGTTTAAGTAACTGGTATTCATTTTCAAGACAATAGAATAAGAAAAATAATTTCATTTATAAAATATTGGCTTCGTAAAATAACTTGTAAGAAAATAGAATTTAGCTCTGTGATGTTCTGTAAGAAACAGAAGATCCTTACTTCTCACTAGTTTTGAGGACTCATAACAGTAAAGGAAAATAGTACTACCAACTCTTCCCAGAATTGGAAGAAATTTCAAAATCTGTCTAGTTCAATGCCCACCTAACGTTAAAATTCCTTCTCCAACAGCCCTTTCAGAAAATGGCCTCACCTCGTGTCTTCCTTCTCCAGTTCTTCCCTACACTCATTGCAATCTATCTTTCATATGCTGCTGAAACTATTCACATTCATCAATGACACGAATGATGATATAACTTATTATCCAAACTTAGGCACTACAACGTGTTAATAATAATGATGCTAGAACAACAGGTTCCAAGCAAACTCAGACAGATGGTCACTCTACTAGTAAACGTCATTTTTGTTACTACATCCAACAAACAAACTTCAGCACCTACTGTAGGTGAGCTTTCTCAATATTTAATGCTGAATACATCATCTTTCTTAGACCTCCTTCTCCCTTTTTCCCATTCTTTTCTGTAACTCCATTTACCTTTGATTTGTCACCTAGCCCTTTGTCCCTCTCTGCTCAATCTTCTCCTTCTGTGCTCACATCTTCAATGCTAGTGTTTTCCAAGATCCTGACCCCATGATCTGCCATCTACAACATCAGTCCATAGCTCCCTTCAGATCTTCAGGCTGCACATTCTACAACCTACTGAACATCTCCACTTATTTGACTCACAGACAACACAAACTCATTATGTTCAAAACTAAACTAATCATGGTTCCTTATCCTGAATTTGCTCCTCCGCCTTTGTCTCTTAGTGAATGACATCATCTTCTACGCAGTTTCCCATGCTAGAAACCTGGGAGTCAACTATCATTCCACCCTCTCTCTTACTGGCGGCTACCAGGCAATTACTTCCGTAATGTTTTTCAAACTTGCCCGGTTATTTCCATCCCCATGATCACTGTCTTTGTTTAGACTGCATCACTACTCATCTGTTCAGTCCTGTGACATTTTCCCTATTGGTATGCTTGCTGCCAGTCCATTCTCTGCATTTCAACCCATTCTCTGTATTACAGTTGAAATATGTTTATGTCACTCCTTGATTAACATCCATCATTAGCATCTAGTTGTCCTAGGATAAAGTATAAAACTATGCAACCTGATTTCAAGACCTTTCATCTTCTGGTCTCTTTATAACTCTCCAGATTTATTGTCTGGCCAGGCAGCCATCAGCAGTTTCTTCTCACCTTTGTGTGCCTTGGTAAAAGCTGTTCTCTCTCTGCCTAGAATAACTACTGATTGACTCTTCTTTGCCCTTCAGAAGTAAATTTGAAACTCATTTCTCTAGGAAACCCTTCCTGGCCTTCAGAGGTCACAGTAGTCCCATACCCCTGACCACACCAAATTCTGTTGCCATTTTCTTTTCTCTCTCTTAATCCCGAACACCTTACAGAGAAGGCCTGGATTTAATTCATCTGTGTATCTCTGATACAGGGTGTGGCCAAAAGAGGGTCAGCTCCACCAGCAGAGTGACTTCATTGCATTCACCACCACATCCTCAGTGCCTAGCACAGTGCCTGCCATGAAGTAGATGCTCAGTAAATAGGCCTAGAATACATGAATAAAGAAAGTAGTCAAAATGTTTGAATGAGTGAATAAGTGTTTCAGTACCTCCAGGACAGTTTATCCTTAAATGAGATATTGTGACTGATTGATTAATGTTGATGATTCCTCATCTACAAAGTATTTTTTTTCCTGGAGAATTTAGCCTAATCACATTGTGCTTCAGATTCTCACCTCCCTAAAGTATGCCAGGTAATGTTCACAGTTCCAACACATGGAGCACAGTGCTTAAAGCACAAGGCACAGCAATGACTTATTCCTTACAGAAGATTTAAAGCTTGGGGCAAGTTACTTACCTTACAGTTCAGGGAACTCAACATTGTTTCTGAGATAAATTACTATGGGTTCAAAAGGAAAGTTGAGGTTGCATTTTTCATGGCCTGCTTCCACATATAGCTTTGCCTCCAATCTATAATATCCGAAATAAATTTTCTTCAATGTATATCTTTATTCTGTGCTCAGCATACAGTAGAAGCTTCTGGGGAGAATACTCAAGCCAGGGTCACTGGGTTTTATAACTTAGGATAACATGGATATTTTCTGTTAAAGGCAAATTCTTCATATCAGAAGTCTGAATAGACTGCTACTTAAATAACAACTTCAACTGATAATATTTAAGGCTCTAGAAAGGCTATATGAAGAATGTTCACCAGGATATAGCATTTTCATTTGACTATAATCTTTTGTTCACATAAAGGACTTGGTTCTCATTCAACTTTTCCAAATTATAAATGGATACATTGAACTTGTATCACATGAAGAAGTAGAAATGGTTTTCTGTGCTGGTAGTATTAATAATAATAATTCGTATTATATATTATAGCTATTTATTATGTTCTAGGCATTTGCAGTCTCTCTTTTTATAGGCTACAGTATTTAATCCTCAGAACAACTGTATGAAATAAGTATATTATTGTCTTCATTTTTCAAATGAGGAAACTAAGGCACAGAAAGGTTAAATGACTGCCCCAAATTATACAGACACTAAGAGGCAGAAACTGGATTCAGCCAAAAGTGATCTTTCTCTGAAACCATGCTCTTTACTGTTATGCTGTCCTCTCCTATGTGTAGCAGAGAGATTTTATTATTTATGATTTAAGACCTATGTGACCATCTGCAAGTTTCAGAACCTCACTCTGGTTCCCTAAAATTCCTTTCAAACTTACCATTCTATGAGCCTAAATATGCCAATGGATGAATAGACTTTCTTGGGTGGCTTAATACTCTGCCTTACAGATGTCCAGTTGCCATCTTTTCCTCCTTCCTTCATTGGAAGATGACTGGTGCTGTTCGAAATCTAGCTGTCTATGCCTTTTCCAGCAATCACTAATTTTTGCTCTTCCTTTAGGTATTTTCCTTTGGCAAAAATGACAGATCAAAGATAACAGATCTTGTCATTCTGTTTGAAGGATTGATTGCCGTGCCCAGCAGAGTGCCAAGCATGGTATCAGCATTGAAATGTGCTTGATGATCGAACAGGCCACTTTAGGCAGATTCATGTAAGCCTCAGAGGCCATCTCCCTGCAATGTGGTTTAGTCCCAATTTAGTCCCAAATGATTCCGTATTTAGACACCATTTCAAATGCATGGAGAGTAATTCGCAAACTTCCTCTGGGAAGGTCAAGGTGGGGAATACCTCCTTTCACTCCAGTCCACACCTTTCCAGTGAACTAGAAAATTAGGTAATGATATTTTTGTATGAGAGGGAGAAAAGAAGAGTATCCATACTATGATATTTAAAATAATGTTATCTGTAGATTCTAGTTTTATATTTCATCTCAAGTTGCCATTAGAAACAAATCTTTTTGTATTTCCTCATACAGAATTTAGTCTTAAGAAAGTACATCTACAAACATACACTGTACTCTTCAGAATCAAAGAATTTAAGCATAAAAATACTTTCAGAAAAGTATGATAATTCAAATGAAATCAATTTGGTAATTTTATGATCTCTTATTCTCATTTATTTATTTTGTTATAATCTTCAGAAACAGACATACAATACATCAGGAAAAAGTCAAAATAATATTAGCAATGTCTTATCTAAAAATATGTATATATATATATGTGTGTATGTAGTGTTTCAAAGCATTTTATATCAGTTATTTTTTCTTTGTTACAATGATCCTGCAATAGACAGAAGAAAGATAATTCCTTGGGAAGTGCTGAGGTAAAATTCTGTGAAATAATGTTGGTAAAAGTGCTTGTAAAAGGAAAAGATCTACTTTACTTTAACTGTAAATTCTTGTTAATACTATAATTATGCTGTATTTGGGTACATATTCGGGGTACATAACAGCTAAGTCAGATAATGAGCTAGTCTTCAAGTTGGAAAACCAACAAATATTCATAGAGTACTTATTAGGTGCCAAGGTATTTGATATTATATAGTCTAATTTCCACACCAATCCTTAAAGTTAGGTTCTTACTATTAGATGAAAAGATGAATCTGAGATTTAGATATGGCTGAAAGAACAAAGATTTGCACTCAAACCTACTTTACCCACATTTTGTCCAAGACTCTGCTCTCCAAGTAGGTGCCGTCTTTAACATCACTCTGAGTACCAGTGCCCTCACACTCAACTACACTCACATAATAGACACACATCCATACCCTGTCAGTCCTAAAGGACATCATTTAAGGGATGTTGTAAAATTGCCCAAATTTGGGGAGGAAATAGAATATTGTTGTCACGATCAGAAAAATAAGATCTGTAAAGCCTAAATATTATTTGAAATATAAGAACTTCAATAACTGCTGAACAACACCTCAAATTTGCATGGCTTCTGGGTGTTCTTAGTAATACAAAGAACAATTTTAAATACATATAAATTTAAATTAATACAAATATAAAATAAGAAACTATAGCCATATTTGTTTTGTGGGTTTCTTTTACAAGAAAAAGATGAAAAATTAATACTGGTGACAACACTTTGTACATGAAAGTCTAACCAACTACCTCACCCATTGGTATGTGTGAATTTATGTTTCCAGATTTTTTAAATGTATTGAATTGGGTTAACCCTTATAGCTCTTTACCTTGCTAAAACCTTACTTCAAATTTTTAAATTGAATATGCATTTTTACCTAGAAATACCAAAAGGAATTTTTATAGTGAATGAAATAAAAATAGATGCTGCTGATATATCTAAACCCAAACTGAAAAATCATAGTGACCAAAAATCTTTCTTTTTAAGTGTTACTGTATTTGAAATCTTTCTTGAAAGATAATACACTCCCTTACAACCTATTTAGTCTATACTTAAATCTCAGAGGCTGGTTGATTACATGTTCCATGGTACTGACCAGAAGGAGTCTTTTTTCTCATGGATGAATTTTCAGATTGGTCATTATGGTTTGTAGGACTTCTGCATGAGTACTGGCTACGGAACATCAAACCTGTGGGTAACAAAGTGACCCCGAATTCATTGACTTTCTTTAAATATTAGCCAACTTACAGATACAAACTATCTGTACTAGGGGCAAGATGAGTAGTCTGCAAGGATAGAGAGGAGACTCTGAATTATCTGAAAGCGTGGTGTGACCAGAATTTAGCCCGTGCTACACAGAACACTTTTCACCACCTTTAGCTTATTCCTAGCCTAGGACTAACTCTTGCCACATAAATACTAATTATGTAGACTCCCTTGGCTCCCTTTAAAACAGCAAAAAAGCACACAAACATTTGCTCCCATTTGTTCCTGCTCTTAAGAAATGTTAAAAGTAGATTGGAATGAGCTCCATCAGAGTAGAGACACTGAAAACTTTTGTAAACAAAATAGATGCCAGGTCAGAATTAGAATAGACTCCAACTCAGGGAAGATGGCCCTATGTGACAGATGATTCTAGCATCATTTTGCAGTTTTCCTTGGGGTAAATAATGCAAGGAGTTGAGGGGAAAGCCAACTTATAGAGAAAGTATGAGATTTTTGTTCCTCCTCACTGTGTTTGGTAGAAAAAGTCTTTAATTGAAGTAGCATTTACCTTACACCTCAATGTATCTTAAACAAAGATAATATATAGGGAAATAATTGTTGAGCCATAGGATATTAGACTGGAATGTTTCGTAGGCTATTCAACTATCCCCATAAGAAGTCATTGGCAGTTGATACCCCAATTTGTGCTTCCTAGGGGTATCAATGGGAAGAGAAAGGAAAACAAACAAACAAACAAAAACCTTGACCCTTCTGTCTTCAAAGGGAAAGATTATTTCTGTAAGAATAGACTCTCTTTTTTAAGGAAGAGGACCTAAAAGAAGATAAGAAAGGTAGGAATCACCCCAAAACAGTCATTAACTCTATTTGCCCCCTTTTCCACTAAATGTTTTCCCAGCAGATCCATGTAACTGTGAACCTTCTTCTGGATGTGACTGCACAGACAATGGCAGCAGTAGGAATCACAGCTAAGAAAACTGCCTGGGAAAAGTAAAACACAGCAGCATGCTTAAGGGTGAGGTGGGAGGAAAGAGGCTATTTTTATAACTTTCTCCTCAATTAGAAATAGAATTTCTGAGCTCTTATTACTTCAGAACATGGGGTGGTTTTTGTTTTGTTTTAGAATAAGTGTTATTATTTAGTAGTCAGACATAAAAGTGAGAATGTTAAAAAAGAAAACTTTTCTTTGTTCTTGCTTCTCAAAGAGTGGTCCATGCATCAGCAGTGGCAGCAGAACCCAGGAACTTGTTAGTGACGCAGCATGTCAGGACTTACCTAGACCTGCTGAACAGGTAACAGAATCCCCAGGCAATTTGCATGCAAATTAATGTTTGAGAAAAGTTGGTCTAGAGGATTTATAATGACCCAGAGGGGTAGAGAGGTAGATTAATTGCCTCTGAGGCCAGAACTCACGCCGTCTGTGGACAGCGCTACTGCACTGTCCAAGAGGAACATAAAAGTCCCCACAATGTCTTCTTTACCTATGGAGCAATGGCACTCATAATGGTTTATCAGATCACCCAGTTAATTACTCTCACTATGTTTGCATGCTCTATATATCAACCACAAAAGAAGGAAGGGAGGAAGGCAGGGAAATTTAGAGAGAGGGAGAGAAAGGAGGAGGAAAGAAGAGAAAAAAGGAAAGAGAGAGAGATCTCATGAGTTTTGTTTATTTTGTTTTAATTTAACCACACATTAAGAAACTTTTTGCTTATAGATCCTGTAATTTAACATGCCCCTCTGCACCATGCTATTCCCAGGCCCGTAACTTCCTCCTACTTTCTCCAAAACTATAAAATAATGAATATTGAATAAGCTATGTAAGTGACAAACATAAATATATGGAACTTTGCCTAAGACCTTTGATACTATTTTAAGGAGTATAGATAGAAAAGGAGTTATAAGTGGTCTGCACAATATTTAGGAACAGGAGATTTGGCTAAAAGCATCCTGGAAACAAGAGCATATCATCTCAAACACATGTGGAGAAATTTATGCTGGCTCAGAAATTAGGAAGCACAAAAGCTCACAGGAAATTAGTCTACCACACGGGAAACTTTCTCGGATACTGCCTGTCACAGAACAGGTGCATAAAGGGACAGAGCCTAGGGCAACTTGACCTGAGAAGGTGTAATAAAGGGCTGTGGGAGGCATCGGAGATAGGGAAGAAAAATGAACTTATTATCTCAATAAATGAAAGTTTTTTATGGGGCAGGGGATGTTTAGCCAGTTCATTTTCAATCCATAAAGAATCAAGCAAAAGAGTGTAAACTTCCCTTAAACTAAGAAAAACTTAGATTGGTAATTAAACATGAGTTTCAATAAAGAGACATACATCAGTTACAGGTTGCAGACTTGTCAAAATTCACACTGTGGACCTTCTTTTGAAACAACTTTATTCTGGTGATATCTGGATAAAATTAACAACAGTCAAAACAAGCAATATTTGGGAGAAGATTGAAAAGAAGGTCTCTGTTGGCAATGTTGAGGACATATTTCTGGACTGATTGCATATAGTCAAGCTTCATATTTTGTATACTCATTCTGCTGTGCTGCCTCCTCTGTCTGAGTCACTGTGTAACAGGGACAGTAGAGAAGATCAAAGTCAGCCTGGATCCATTTACTAAGGATGGAAGGCTCTGCTATCAGGGAGTATGTAAAGTTGTGAATACACTTCCTAGGGATAATAAAGTGCCTCTCTTTGTAAAACCTTCAGAAGTGAGCAGACACCACCAGTTCTGAAAAGTTCAAGATTTTGCCTTTTGGGAAATGAAAGACCTTCCAGCTGTCTACTCCATGATTCTAAATGAGACACTCTTCTATGAACATGTCTACAAAAATATATGATGACACTGCTGGAAAACATTTTCTTTTCACCTTTAAATCCATTATAAAAATGAGCAATTTCTGTTATTGAAAATATTTTTAAAGGTGAAATAGCTCTCAATAGAAAAGATTTAAGTAAGGAAGCCAGGATACTGTCATTCTATAAAAATCAATAAGCTCAGCATAACATTTCAGTCAAGAAAAGTCATTGCTTACAGACAGATGCCTGTAAATCTCACTGAAGCAGCATTGTTTTAAAATTTCCCCAGTCCCAGGAGATTGTATTAAACACAGGAAGACAGAAGCTATAGAGGCACTGGATTCCTGGCCTGCATTTCTGGTGTGAAGCAGCTAGAATTGGCAATATGTACACTTTTTAAAATTGTCTGAGCTGAACCATTCTTTGCAGACAGAAAAGGGAATTTTAAGAATCTGCTTTCTCAGGGACTTTTAAGAGATCTTGCTTACTGTGGATATTACCAAACCAAGGACATTATGTGGATGATCAAATTTTCTTCCTCTATAAAATCCATTTCACCACATATTTTGCAAGTTTTCTTGCTTGGGATCCAAAAGTGAATGAATTTTAGAGGCAGGTGAAATCATATCTATATAATTAGTGGCAGTAATTAACTTTTGATGCAATGCTACTATTTCTCATT